AGGTAAATTTATTAATGATTCAAGCACTCAGTGCAAATTATGAAAATCTCAATTGTGCATTCGCTGCATGTAACATAAAATATTGAGAACTCAGATAAAAAATTCATGGCATATGCTGCCATTCACGCAGTCAACAATGAAAACAATTCTCATAATCTTGACTTTTCAAGATTATAAATGCATATGCAAATTTCCCCTATATATAGTACACAACAGCTGCTTCAAAACATATAACATTCTGGTAAATATATCACTCTCCAATCCATGGAATTCTTCAGCAAATTCCAATGCTTTGTTTTGTTTTTGTTCTTCTTGACCAGAGGTATAACCCTGGTTTACATTTTTCTTTCTTCTTCTCACACATTAATATTAATTTTCATGATTTTGATTTCACGTTTCAGGTAGTCTGCAGTGCTATCCTGGAACCCTCAAGGACATCACTATTACACAAGTTAGAACCGGAGCGAAAATGATGAATAAACCGGAGTGGAAAGTGACAGTCCAGCAAAAATGTCATTGTAGCTTTACAAATGTGAAAGTACGTTGCCCCGGCTTTGATTCTGTTGTTAAGCCGTCGCCTTTTATTATTTCCAAGTCAGGCCCGGACTTGTGCCTTCTTGACTACGGGAACTCTATAGGAACATTCCATTTCACTTATGGCTCGGATCAACCGATTGCATTTGTTCCATATTCTTTCGTAGAAAATTGCTCTTGAATGAATGAATTGTTGTTGATTGCTAGTCTTATTATAATAAAACCTTGAAGGGGTGCTGAAATTTTCAGTGTTTTAATTAATTACTGGAAATTAATTAATACAATAATGCTTTTGTTATATGTGGAATGCTTTTATATCATCACGGTTTTTAATTAAATAAGTCTGTAACATCACATTTAATTCGACTTATCATTTAATACCACCTAAATATCACATATAGTGGCGTTTTAACACCAATAATACCAAATAACATTGTTCTTGTTTTAAAGCAATGGACCCACTTTCACCAACCCTTGCCTTTTATAGAACGAAAAATGCTCTGGGAGAAGTCTTACCGACCCCTCACTGTAGGGGTTGGTCACACATGAAAGAAGAAAAAAAAAAAATCTACCGAGACCCGCGCATGTGTGTGTTCTGGCAGAGGTCTGTAAAACAGACCTCTGTACCTGTAGCAGAACTCTTATAGAACCCTTCTACTGAATTTAACAAAGTTCAAATTACAAAAGATAAAGAGTTTCGTCAAAGCTTTTCTCAAACTTTTAGAGTGAGAAATGAATTAACCTTGTCAGCTAGTTTTGAATTCATAAATAATATCGATTTCTAAAATTTTAACTAACATACCTTTCTCTTTTTAGAATGTTATTAAATTCTTCATCTTCCTTTTCGCACGAAATTTGAACCACGGTGACATTCTTGTAAAATTAAGCGAAATTGACAAGAATTCAAGACAACTTAGTCGAAATTATATAGAGAGCATATTAATAAAATGGTACTACGTTCAATATGCATGACGAGGCGGTTTGCTAGTTAATTCATTTCCAAGAGATGGCCGAGTCAATACCTAATTCATTAGGCTCCATTACAATTGAACCATTTGACATCCCCGTGACAAACTGGTTTGCTACTTGTGGATTTGGAGCAATAACGACTGAACTGCATAGTCATGTTGCAGTAAGTAACTAGCTTCATGATTAATACTGTGAAATTTAGTGACTTGTAACGTGCAATAAATAATAATTTGCAAGATAAAATTAATACTTTTGAAAGTTATGAGTTGTAACATTCGCATTAAAGGCACATTACTACGAGTTGATTCCTTCAAAATACTTAAAAGATTTTACTCTATTCATAATCCATTAACTAATTAAAAGATTGATTCTACTCAGGTCTACCTTTATACTTGGGTCGTTTGCCCTTTGAACAAGAACCTTGCTACATATATATTATGGTGTACACTTTAGTTTACACTTTATCATGTGTCATTATCCTATTAGATAATTTAAATTTAATTGACACTTGACAACAATACAAATATCAGCTAAAGTGTCAAAAATCAGTATATAAGAGCCTGTTTGAGTCACATTATAATGAGAATGAGAATGAGAATGAGAA